TCTCCTCTCTTTCTTTTATTGCAGCTACAGTTTTTTTGAACTGACATTATCGAAAGAAAAAAAAAAAAAAAAAAAAAAAAACGAAAGAAATTAATATAAATTAAAAAGTAAAAATTAATTAAAAGTTAAGAATCAAGAAGAAAAATTTCGATTCGATCGTGTCACCATAGAATATCCAAAATCTACATAATCGACCAAATTCAACCAAAAACTAATTCTATCAATTCATCATTCGTTCATTGTCATATCCATCCAAAGGCTATATGCCTTTCTTCCACGTTCGCGTGATTCGAAACAACAAAATGAAAAGAAAGTTCGGCTGAAGAGTACCTTTGGGCGTGTCGTTCTTCTTGCTGCAGGATTTCCTCAGGTTCTTGACCATCTTTTTCGCCTCCTCCATGGTCATCTTTTTCTGCGTGCGTAAAAGAAAGTTGAGAGCCCGTGTGCACGCACGTTCGAACGGATCGTACCTTCGACTACAGACAATCGATCGATCAAACTCACGCTCTCTGTGTCCTCGATCGCCAGCAGAACGAGCACCAACGTGACCATCAGAAAGACGCCGAGTCCCTTCATTTTTTCTCGTTTTTCCCTACTTGTTCCCTTCCGGTTGTTGCTCGTTGAGGCACTAGCTCCTCCAGCTTCCAGATCGCTCGAACCAGGATGAAATCGGGGGATGTGCCGACTCCTCTCGTTATTATTCTTGATGGATCAAACGCGAGGCCATCGTGCACCCCCTTTTATAGTCGGCGTCCGATGGCCAACAGTAGGAGGAAGGAAGAAACTTTTGCGTTTCGTGGGTGTTGCGCGAGGCTTGACCCGTGATTACCGCTTTGGTTAATAATTAGCTAGTAACCTTCAGATTTCCGAAGCCGGAAAGGGAGGAGTGGCGCCGCCATGTAATGGATTACGTCGCAAATATTCAATTGTTATACAATGTACTATGTGTACTGTGTCGCACTTGGTTCATTTTTCTTCTCTTCTTTGCTTTGGTTCGTCTCTGTCTCGTGTCCTTTAAACTATAAAATTTGTTTTCTCTTGCCGTGTAAAATTTATTATCACATCAACAGTACTAATTAAATAAATACTGATAATGTTAGTTTAATCGTGCGAATTGCAACTCAGAACTCGCAATGTCAATAATATCAAGTTCAATCGTGCAAGAGGGCCCTGACACGAAACTGAAAACCAAGGAATCGAAAATTGAAATTAAAAGCGGAACGGATAGAAAACTAGAATTAGTTCAAAAACTTCTAATCTTTGTTTTCTAATTTGCTTTATCATAATTTTTGCTTGAGGGGGAAAAAGAAACGAAAGAACTAGCGAATGGATCTAATTACAAGCTAATCCTGCTGTTCTTCTGTGCGAGAGATATATTAGAAATTGATATTATTAAAACGCAAAGTTTCTAAATGTTTGGTTTTAGCATTCGGTATTTTACTTTTAGTACTCTATCATTTTACTTTTAGTACTCTATCATTTTACGAGCTTACTGCACTTATCTAAATGGAGATGTCTAGATGTACAAACAAAGAAACGAAGAGTGTTAATAAGCAATTGTGATCCTTGAAATCCTTTGAATACGGATATATTTTCGAAAATTGTTTCCTCCGAGCGACATAGTACACAATTTGGATACGGTATATTATCACGATGCTAATTGATAGCCGTATTTTATGTAATTTTCATCCCGACGTGACGTTGACAACAGCTGTGTTTAAAGAATTCAAACTACGATCAGAAAAAAAAAAATTCGAGCATTGAAGAATCATTCGATTTCTCGAAAGAAAGTTTCTCGACTGAAGTTAAGTAGACAGAATGGAAGAAAACTGACAATGAGAAGTAGAGTTGATCTCTCCGCATCAATCAATTCGATCTTTTGTCGATTATAGACAGTTGATTAAAATCTAGTTGTAACTCAAAATCTGGGGATTAATAATTACTATATTAATAATTATTTCTATGTTAGTTTATTATCAATAATTCTAATAGTACAATGTTAGAATGTAACAGTTTCATCATTGACGAAGCTTCCAAATATTTTCTTTCTTCGAAAATATGTTCACATAATGTGTTTTATATCTTTCAACATTTTATTTGTCAGAAATCGGACTTATAGCTTAATACCATATGAGAACAAAATAAAATGATTTACAAATGAAATTAAGTGTAAAATATGCAACTGACAAATCATATGGCATTATTGTGATATAAATTGTTAACGTTATCTTGTAATTATTTCTTAAAAATACGCTCCTATACTTATTATTCATTCCTTTGCTCGTTTCCTATCGTTTCGACATTATCGAGCTTGGGGTTTCATAAATTTGCATGGGTGTGTCTCTTCGAAAGATCATGTTTATTAAGGGAAGAAAAATATTTCTGGATTCGTAAAGTAGTAGCATTTTATCAGTTCGTACGTTTTGTTGCAGTCATCGCCGGTGTATTCTGCGTACAACGATAGAGATAGTTTAAAAAGAAACTCTCCAGCTTCTTTCGGTGAAAAATGTATGACGATTATATGCTTGTGTCTTTTGTAAGATACGAATATTATAAATTGTAATTTCGTAATATATCTTACATGTGGTATATTAAATTAATAGTATAATGTATGTATCATAAATACTATTTATAGTACAATATTATTATAATGTACTGACTTGTTTGTCCTATTAATATATATCTGTACAATTATTATACTAATATACTTGCATGTACAGATACAGTGTCTGAAATTGTCGATATGCAAGTTTTATTTCTTACAAACTAGAATTTATGAAACTTTGCCCTTTAAATAATTTTAGACACAATCATATCTTTTCTACAGTCTATCTATTTATCATGTCTAATTATATTAATTTATTAATTCAAATATTTAATGATTATCCTTACCTAATTTCTGGCACGAGTTCACGACTTCCTTCACTAAACTTGCTGATTCTGGTGGCATCGTTATGTCGAGTTGCTTTATCACCATTCCAAAATCGATCTCCCCATTTTTAAACTAGACGAACATATATCGAGAGCAGATGTCGATCAGTTAGTTTCCAATAAATAATCTTGGAATTGAAAATTAGTTATTTTATTTTGTATTTACGGTTCGTAATGCTTTCATGATGCAGGTCGTGTAGCACTTGAGGTTCTCGTCATCGCTAGGAAACTGACCCTTGCTCATTCCGTTAACTTTGTCTATGGAATGAATTTTATTAAGAACGTAATCTTCTTCTGGTTCCATTAAATTGTCCATTTCGTTTTCGAGCTTTTTTCCACTCACCTTCCGATACATCGATCTTCTGCAAGCAAGACTTCCGCAAACTCTTTGCCATTTTCTCGATTTGCTCTTGAGTCATGCTCTGAAGATATTTTAAAATTTCAACGTTTTAAATTGATTTTTAGGATCGGGTATCTCGATCCTAAAGCGTCTGAGCTTTCCAAAATTTTCAAGTCAATTTCAACGTCACAAACGTTAAATATCTTTTCAAATAGGTACATTCGACAATTTTCAAATATTTGAATTTCCATCTAAAACTATGTTACATTTTAACATTTTAAATTTCAACGCTTTGAACATCTAGATATCTAAATTTCTTCGTTTTGTGATGTTCAGAAACTTAAATATCTTAGAATGATAAAATAGTTCAGCGAATATTCTTCGAAAGGATATTTACGATAAATGTGTCTAATTCCCATTATGTTATCATAAACGCAAAATCCACGGATCATCAAAGGGATGAATATCTTTACCAATATTCAAACAAATGAATTCCTTCGTAAAAAATCAAAGAAACGTACACTTTCGGCTGGTTCCCATGCCACCAATGCGAACAACGTTGCAACAAATAAAAGTTTCACGTGCATATTTGAATTCTTAATTAAAAAAAGGATCAAAGAAAAATAAAGATACGAGAATGTACAGTAAGAAAACAAGACGAATATCAAAACGTAGTCTCTTTCGTTGTTCAAGCAACTGAAGGCTTGATCATTCGGGTTTTTTCTTATAAATCTTCGTGATTTGTTATTTTCCGACACAAGATAATTCGATAATTTGACATTTGTCGGCGAATTACCGGGTAAATCTGTCTTTTCGACTTGATGACAAGCTCGCTGACATTATATAACACGAGTTAAGAAGTATGTTCGACTACTAAATGATCGTCTCAACAAGTTTGATTCCCATGAAATTCCAGCTTGCCTTATTTTTCTCCGTAGTAATTCCATGCAATTTCTTCTTTGAGTGTAATTTCGTAGTTTAAATTGCGAGAAGGAGACTAGATTAATCATTCTAATTTTGGACAACGACTGGACAAGGTCAATCAGTATGTAGCATGAAGAAATATTATTTTTACAAATTCGTGATGATTAATGTAAATGAAAATTAAACTGTACGCACATCACAGAGTTGAAAACTTGCATTACAAAGTACTGACAGATTATTCCACTAGTATAGTTTGCACTAGGTGTCCCAGGTTCGATCGTTTCCACCCTTTGTCGCGTGGTTTGCACGGTCCAACTTGTACGAAGCAAGTTTTGGCCGGTCGTTCGCTTTGTCCTTCCCCCTTCATCGACAGAAGGCTCGGGCGTTAATGTCGAACCCTTGTATCTCGAGAGACACCCTTAAAACAGGAGCATCTGGCCAGAAAGCGCCGCCACCCCCGCGGCCATTAGTTCGTAGAGGCCACTCTTCGCCAGTTCGATAATTACATTTTTCTTTTTTTTTTTTTTTTCTTCACCCTCTCGATCTCTCTCGATCTCTCGGCGATTCGTTTCCACATGATCGTCGTACGTTTCGATCGATCCTGAGACGAATTCCTCTCCACGTTCCACTCGTTCTTTGCTTCTTTCACGTGAAAGTAAATACGACGAGGGAGAGATGGATTTTGACGAGACTGTGCTTTTGAGTATTTGTGTATTTGTGAATTATTAGAAACACTGAATTCGAAAGAATTGGAGTATCTTAAAATGGGAGAGTTTTAAAAAAACAATCATACAATTTTTTAACGTTTGACGCTTTGAACGAAGAAAATGTAATTGTGTGATTAAAAGAAAGGAAAGTGTTCTTTTTTTTTTTTTTTGTTTTTGAAAATTTTAATAGAAACATGTTGTATAATGTAAAATACAGAAATTTGTATGTCGAGGAATGAAGTATGTCTACTATTATTATTAACGTGCTATGCTTTTTCTTTGCAATTAGGAAGAACAAACGTCAGATTTATATTTTTAACTCTCTCAGTGTCCTAATAGAAGTTTCAGTAGCATATTTGCTTCCTTTATCAAGTATAAAGTCAAAAAGTGTTTTAATTACAATTATTCTTTAAAATAATACAGAATAGACGAACCTAACTTTTTTATTATATGTATATGTAATTAAGCGTACGAGTATTATTTTGATTGGCATTTTCTCGAATCATTCCGAAATTTTCTAAAATGATGGGAACTTCAAATCAGATTATTTGACATTCAAAAGTCAGAAAGTGTAATTGAAAGTGTGGATTCAATGGAAACACGAAAAAAAAAAGAAAGCCTCCGTAGGTTGGATCTAATCCCACGATTCTGACTGGTCGACTAAAAATACTTGCACGTGTAACAATAAAATTTCGTCAGATGGTGACATCGTGTCGAACCGATGGAATCCGATCGTGCAATACCGGCCTTTCTTCACCCACATCTGGGCATCGCGTGCTCGTTTTCGATCAGCGGTATCATAACGCGGACTTTCTCCGCTATTCACGGACACTTTCGATTTTAGAGCCCGAAAAACATCGATACGTGCTCGTAGGAAAATGAAATGATTTTATATAGCAAAAATATATATATTTATAAAATATAATATAAATATATATATATATATACATAAATATATATATAATAAAATAATAAAATTTAAGTTTATAATTTTTGTAAATTAATAAACAAATAAAATATGAAGATAGAATTATATATATATATATATATATATATATATATATATATAATATAATAAAATATATATATAATAAAATATATAAATAAAATTAAAATAATATTTATAATAAAATAAATATATAATAATTTATATATATATAATAAAATAATAAAATTTAAGTTCATAATTTTTATAAATTAATTAAACAAATAAAATATGAAGATAGAATTATATATATATAATATAATAAAATATATATATAATAAAATAATAAAATTTAAGTTTATAATTTTTGTGAATTAATTAAACAAATAAAATATGAAGATAAAATTATATATATATAATATAATAAAATATATATATAATAAAATAAATAAATATATATAATAAAAAATATATCTATAATAAAATAATAAAATTTAAGTTTATAATTTTTGTAAATTAATTAAACAAATAAAATATGAAGATAGAATTATATATATATATATATATAATATAATAAAATAAATATATATATAATAAAATAATAAAATTTAAGTTTATAATTTTTGTAAATTAATTAAACAAATAAAATATGAAGATAGAATTATCATTCCTCTAATTATAATGATTAAAATTATACACGAGAGATTCGCAAAATTACTTCCTATGGAATAGCAATCAGCTGGCCGAGGGAGAGACAGGGTTGAACAACAAAGGGAAACGATCTCCTAGTTCTTCGTCGGGCGTTAAAGAGCCGACGATCGCGTGCGACGGAACTAGCTTCTTCCTGGAGAAACGGATGAATGCGGAAGCGAAGGGTTAAAAAGCGAAGAGAGAGAGAGAGAGAGAGAGAGAGAGAGAGAGAGAGAGAGAAAGATGAAATGATGTGCAACAGTCGGTATTACGAATTACGGAAAGGAAACGGCCTGTTAGTGAATCACGTCGATGAGAGAAAGAGGGAGAAACGAAGCATGAGAATAACGTGACCTCTACGACGCCGCCCTAATTAAACGCCTTTAATTAACGGTAATAACCGCATGTTTCGCAGCGGGTTGCGTAATGAACGTCTTGTCGATAAGCCGCCGGCTCTTCATCCAGAATTACAATAACACGCTCTGCCTGCGAAAATCACTCGAGGGTGCGTAGTATTTGATCAAGATTGTTCCACATCGTTCTGGTTTCTAGATTTTGTTTATTTAATATCCTCTTCTTAAGTAAAAGATATCGTTTCGTTTGTTCGCAAGAGAAAAATAATTATTCGTTCGATCTTTTCATTGAGGAGGAAGGCAGGAAGACTTCTCTTATTTATATACGTTTATTCCTCTGGCGCAAGTTTTCTGTTTCAATCGTTTAAATGTAACACATATCAAAAAACGTAGAGCATGTTAGGATTTCAGAAAAGAATGATAATACTTCATCGAGTAAATAAATATTTTAATTAAAGTCACAATATAAACTGAGACTTTAATTAATTCTATTTAAAAGTCAATGTTATAATTGTAATACTTTACATTTCTCAGGAAAGTGTACAAGGGTTTCAAATATTTCATTCGAACCTCGATGAGTCGACTGTCAAAAAAATTACAAACAACTCTTTGAAGAATTTATGAGAGATGAAATGCTCTCTCTTTCATATTCGCACAAAATCCGCGGATATTTCTCTGCGACAGTGCGACACATTGTTGCATGAACGTCGTCAGCAAATTAAGATGCAAATAAACGTCTCTGGCTGTGAGAAAAACAAAAATACATAATTAAAAATAAAAATGAACGATTTGTGTGGACGCGTTTTCGAAACAAGATAGAAAGAAAGAGAGTCACGCGACTGCGTAATAAATTAATCGCGTGCCCCGTCGCGATTAAAGGCCGCCCTTTGTCATGCTAATTACCTTTCAATTAAACTCACAGCCCTGGGAGTCCCCGAGCTTGCCTGAATTAGCCTTTCAGTCGATTCTGATTCGGCCAACTTACTTTCCGCCGCGGAATTTCAAGCAAATTGTGGCCCGTGCTTTTAGCCCGGCGTCCCTCCGTTCGATGTACCAAGACCCTTCATCGAGAGAAGGGAACGACGAGAAAGAGAAAAAAAGAAAGAAACATATATACACTTGCCGTTCGTTCTTCGTGATCGAAGTGGCCTCTCGAAACTTGCTTATCGCGTCTTTTGCCTGGTTGTTCGCAATCACGAGCTTTGACGATCTTAGATACGCAGGAAATGAGGAATGAGGAAGATGTTCTTTGTTGGGGCTGTGGAGTGTTAGGTTAAGTGAGTCGTCTTCTTGTCGAAAAATATGTATTGATTTTTTATTACGGTGTGATTGGTGGCGATAGAGGCGGATGTGTACCTAGATAGAAAATATATAAAATAAAATAAAATATAATTTAATTATATAATAATATAACAATTACATTACATAATAAAATGTAATATGTACATACCATATGTCGTTGACATGAAAATTGAAATCAGGAATAAACGAAAAAGTTATCAAGAATAATTTGTGATAATAGAAATGTATTGAGTTTCTTAAATTTATTAACTATTCGATTAATAATATTTTAAAGAATCTTATGTAAATTGGGAGTTTTATTACATACAACGAGACGACATCTTTTATCTTTTTTAATTTCCTCGTTTTCACGCCAGATTTTTGTAGCTGTATAAAACGTACTTGCAGTCGTTTATTAGCATTTACTCGTCGGATGTCACACGGTACAGCAATAAACTAAGATAATCTTTAATATTTTTATACAACACTCAGTACCAATGTTTTTAAACATTTTATGAACAAAATATCATTTGGAGGATACGAATCGTAACCAAATCTGACATTTAATTACGCTTTGCATAATTTTTGAGAAGACTCGTCGCATTTTTTATTTCTTGGAATGCAGATACAGGATCTTGAAATCTCTCTCTTCTTTTTAATACTCTCTTTCATCAGTGATTTTCAATTTGCTCAAACCAATTCACCCTCTTCTCTTTCACCGGCGCAATTTATTCAGGCAGAAGAATATTTTTCACCTTCTTTATTTTTACCAGGATCTCGTTCGATCTCGAGACGCATGTTCTTATCGATCGACTCATAATCG